GTGTCTAAGTTGGTAAAAAGTTATTTTTTTCCTATTAAGTCTAAAACTATGTCTCAAAAATGAACTTTGGTATGCTTATAAGTCTACCCTACTCATATACAGGGTGGTCCGAATTTTATGCAGGAAACTTCGAGGATAGATAGATCTCTTTAAAATAGTAGGTGTTTGCCTTATAAACATAGGTCTGGAACGGCCTCGTTTTAGAGATACAGGGTGTTGAAGTTGTTAAAAATTGTTTTTTTTTGCTTATATCTCCGGAATCTATTAACCGATTTCAATAAAATTTAGTACAGAAAATGTATGAAAGTAGGACTTGTATTTCCTGAAATATGAGCTGTAAAGGTTCAACCAGTGGTGTACAACTGGACAGGATCACCCCCTTTTTTATAAAAAAAACCTACGCCACTGTATTTCTTACACGCTATTGTAACGGATTTGTATTCTATTGCACAAAATACGTAAAAATCGTAACTTGAATTTTTTCCCTAAAGTTCACCGTTCTCCAGTTATTCATATCAACACAATCCCCTTGTAGCAGACACTTCCAACGATAATATTATAAGAATATTTATGTTTATGCTTAAAAGTAAGTGCAATTGATAAGCCATATCAACAAAATTCTTTACACTCGTCGCTTTCATATTTTTGGATTAAAACAATATTTGGAAAAGCACGACGGAACAATGAAAGGCACAGAAATTAAATTTTAAGAGTATTTTGGACCTTTCTTCTTGCCACCGCATATAAATTCCCATCCATTTCTAAACTTTCTAGAAAACCATCTATTTGAGTTATTAGAGGATGTTTTATTAAATATACGACAAAATACTGGATACAAATGGATGGTGCTCTTTGAGAAGAATAAACAGAAGACCAAATGCCAATGTCAACCATAATGGTGGAGAGGGTCCAGTGTCTTGGCCAGCCAGATCGCCAGATCTAAACCCCCTGGATTTTTGTGTTTGGGGTTACCTATATGAAAAGTAAAGTTTACTTCAATAGATACTAGACTACAAGTACTATAGCGAATAGAACGCAGGTGTAATGAATTAAAAGAAAACCACCACATAGCTAGTTATTAGCTTCAATAAGTTCCATTAATAGAAGATGTCAGAAATGTATGGATGTGGTTGGTTCGCATTTTGAACAATTGCTGTAAATACATATGTAACGTTAATTTTGTTTCTTGTTTAGTTGTTGTTGCTTGGTAAATGTATTTTTATTATTATTTTGATAAATTATTCTTATTTGTAAAGATTAGGCCTCCAGGGGAAACTAAAACACCAGGAACACTATCTCACAGGTGATATGGAATGAATTTTGTTGATGTGCTTACAAATTGCACTTACTTTTAAGCATAAACATAAATATTCTTGTAATATTATGGTTTGAAGTGTCTATCACAAGGGGATTGTATTGGTATGAATACCTTGAAAATGGTGAATCTTAGGGAAAAAATTAAAGTTACCTTTTTTACGTATTTTGTGCATTAGAATATAAATCCGTTACAATAACTTGTAAAAAATACAATGGCGTAGTTTTTTTTTTACAAAAAGGGGGTGACCCCTGTCCAGTTGTACACCACTGGTTGAACCTTTAGGGCTCATATTTTAGGGAATACAAGGTCTTCTATCATACATTATCTATACCAAATTTTATTGAGATCGGTTAATAGATTCCGGAGATACAAATAAAAAATCAATTTTTTAAACAACTTCAACACTCTGTATCTCTAAAACGAAGCCGTTCCAGACCTATGTTTATAAGGCAAACTCCTATTATTTTAAACAGATCTGTTTGTCCTCGAAGTTTCCTGCATAAAATTCGGACCACCCTGTATACCTAGATGACAGTTTTTGACATAGTAACCGAAGCAATTGCATTTACAAAAATGGAAAGAATACGCCAGCTACCAAACATATTCATATTTTTTTGCGGGTGACAACTTCATTTTCCAGTTTTACTAGTAAAAACAGTATTTTTTAAGTTTTTCTGTATTGCAATTATTTTGGATTTCTACCGTTGTTGCGCCATAATTATTTATTTTGTTATCTTAATACTCGTATACCTTATATACGATATATACCTTATATATCGTAAATTATTTACTTATGGCATAGTTTTAGTTCTTTATTTCTTCGGTATTTGGGTACTGGGTATTTTTCACAGGTACATGACAAAATACCAAACAAATAAAGAATCTCATTTAATTCTCATAAAAGTTTCATTCATTTCATTCACAATAATTATTGGAAATGTGAACAATTTTTAGCAATGCATATTTCAGTTAAAAAAGAATATTAATAGCACTCTACTCAGATTTCTACTTTTCTATAACATGTGACATTATCAAATAAGGATCTACATGACTATTATTATCTAAGGATGATTAAATTCGATCTATTTGATGCAAGTTTGAATTGAATACGATTTATTATTAGGTATTACATTTTTTTAAATTTTGAATGAAATAGTGTTATTGAAAATGGTGATAATTTCCAACAATTTTCAAGACTCTGAACGTCACTGTTTCGTTTTTATTATCAAATATATCAAATTTGTGATGACAAATATATTAGATTTGTGTAGACAATACGAAAAATGTTAGGGATACAAAAATCTTCCTAATATTTATGACAAAATAAGAACTGTTATAACGTCAAACGTCAAATTAAAAGCATGTTTACTTAGGGGTGAGGGTATTTTTCTCCATTCTGTAAATATAATTGGCCGTTGAAAAAAAACTAGTTTCCGAGGAATATTGGCAAAATCTAACATTTGTTAAATATATTTAACCCAATTATTTTACAAAAATCATCAGTTCATTTCCACTTTTGGAAGAAATTAATAAAGATCAGAATCATCAAGAATGTGAAGTTGTTCCTTTATGCAAATTAAAAAAATCTTAATTCGACTTTGTGTTGAATTTCTCTTAAAAAATGCTTTAAATGTTGTGTTTTAGTTATAAAAAACTGATATTTTCTTTATTTAAATCGGACTAAGCTAGAGTTATTAGAAAAATTTTTTTTTTGCCAACAACGGCGCCCTCTGATGGTTTAACGAGACGAGGATAAAGACAAGTTTAGTAATAGCAGTTTTACATTGACAATTTATTCATGAATAAATTGACGAAGTTCTTCATGAATTAATTCACGAATTTATTGGTAAACAGTGTGGTTTTACACTGCTACAGACATTGTCAAGTTGTTTGACGTGTGAATCAGTTCTACCAATGAACCAAAGAAGCAAATAAATTTCAAAAATGTGACCTTTCCACTCATAACAGTGTGGTTTTACACTGCTACAGACTTTGTCAAGTTGTTTGACGTATGAATCAGTTCTACCAATGAACCAAAGAAGCAAATAAATTTCAAAAATGTGACCTTTCCACTCATAATTGTAGTGATACAACAGCGGTACCGTTCTGACACATATTATATAAATATTAGTTTTTGTAAGTAACAAATCAGTAAAAACAATGCAAAACTAGTACGACGCCACACAATTATTTACATATTCCAATAACATAACCTCATTACTGATCTGAGGCTGGAAATCTGTTGGGTTGGTACTTCCGAACTTCACGAAGAAATTGACGAAAATTAGAACATGCTCTAATTCGTCAAGAACTTGATGAATAAATTCATGAAGTTATTTGACAGCAGATTTGGTGCATTACACTTGTCCAATTTCTTGATGAAGCGACTTCATGAATTAATTGATCAATAAATTGTCAATGTAAAACAGCTATTAAAGCTTTTATTTTGATCTCAGTAACCTGATTTTCAAAATTTCCTGAAAAATTAGCCGTTAGAAAAGAACTAGTTTCCTAGGAAAGTTGGGAAAATATAACTTTTTTTAAATATATTGTATATTTACCCCAATTATTTTACAAAAATCATCAGTTCATTTCCACTTTTAGAAGAACTTAATAAAAATCAGAATCATCAAAAATGTGTAGATTTTCCTTTATGCAAATAAAAAATATCTTAGTTAGACTTTGTATTGAAATTTTATTAAAAAATGCTTTAAATGTTGTCTAACTGATGTTTTATTTCTTTACCTTGTCTATTCAAAAAGTGAAATTAAAATTTTGTTTATTTTGTTGTTTTAAATAAAATGTTATACATATTACTCTTTATTAATTTGTGCTTGCTCAGTCAAAAAAAAAAATTTAAAATATAATTTTTTCAATTTTTGTTTTTTGTTTTCGAATTGTTAAATCTCCAGGTACTACCATGTACACAAAATATTAGGATGCCCTGTAGAATCAGCCAGTTTTATTTAATGTTTTTATAAAAAGTATAGGAATAAATTTAAAAACTCAGAAACATTTGTTAAATGTTTTGAAAATACAATATACAGGATACAATTTTTAAAATTTTCAATAGAATTTGTCAGTCATCGAAGTAAGAAAAGAGAGTTCCGTTTTTGTTCTTATATTTTCCATGAGAAAATACAGTAGCTTTTGATGAAAAGGCAATGCAAATATTTTTACTGGCAGAAAATTACATATGTGCCAGTTAAATTGTATTAGTTAAAGTTTACAGAACATTGCACCGAACAAAATTTTCAAATATTTCAATCAAACGTCTATGTGATTTATTTTTATTTCGACGGATTGCCTTTTGTTACAATAATTTCTAAATGAATCATATTTCTACATAAACGTTACTTTTTTATAAAAAAATTGCCCACTCTTTCTCAACGTATGGATAAATAGAAGCAAAAACAATGTTAAAACTAATGAGAATTACTGAAACAGCAAACTTTTTCCTTAAAATGATCTTTAAAAAGCACATATCAAAGGAGCCGTAAGTTCAGACCATTCACGGTACATTTACCGTGTCGTGCCGCAACCCATTCACAAATATCTTCCAGGACCACCTGTAGTGGGGCCCGTGGAGGGGGGATGCTGGCCCTCTTAAGCACGTGAACTACCAGGAATCCGACACATCTCATTGCGACATAACTCAGTTAACAACCTCGATCTAGTGACCATGAAAACTGACGTGAAAAAAACTCAGCCTGTCTCGGAGAGCAGGAAGATCAGGAAGCCTCTGATGGAGAAAAAAAGACGGGCGAGAATCAACGACAGTCTGGAAACGCTGAAGCAGATCCTGCTGGAGTCGAAGACCACTCTGAAGGAGTCTAGGGGGAAGAATGGACAGAGGACAGCCAAGCTGGAGAAGGCTGACATTTTGGAGATGACTGTGAGCTACTTGCAACACCTACACACCAAACTGAAGGAAATCAAGGAACAAAATTGCCGGGTAAGCAGAGTTCAGAGCAAGGATAGTTGTGTTACTTTGATTCCTACGAAGTTGAGCAGTGGTGAAGTGGTGTATTTCCTTCCTTCGAATTTGGAGGGTACTCAGAAGAAACATACCGAGAAATTGTCGCGGCCGGTGAAGGCTGAGAGTGTCTGGAGACCGTGGTGAAGTTTTTTTAGGTACTTATAGGATGTAAATATGTATATATTTTTTAGTAAGACTGAAACGTGAAAATTTATCTGTGATATTTGGAGTGTTTTTATTAAAGATTTTATACACATTTAGTTGGTTGTTTTTTTTTCAAAATAATTAAATTTTATTATTTTTATCTTTATATTTTGATTTATAATATACATAATATAAATAAATACTTTTTAATTTATATTTTTAAATATTTAAAACAAGATTGATTATATTACATTAACGTTATTTTTTGAAAGTCATAGTAAATAAGAAATTAAATTATTTAAAATTCCATGCCAAATCACTGAGGTGACAACCCGATCATTTTTAATTTTCCTGATTTTTTGCTATTTAGTACCCATTTAGAGCAGCTTTCATGAATTTTTTCAAATTTTTATTTCAACCCCTCAAAAAGTTATGAGCATATGAATATTTTGGGTAAAAAATTTTCAAATACCCGTAACTTGGCAAAAACTAAAGATATCATAAACTTTTTTTTTCAATTTGTTCGTTTTGATTTGTAGTTTTATAAAAAATATAAAAATAATACATTTATGAATTTCTAAGTATCTTTTTAATTTCTAAACCAAAGAAGTGTCATACATTTTGAAAAAGAGTGGAGCTTCTTTTTTCTTTTTTTGTGAGACAGTTTCTAAAGTGGGATTCTTTTTAATTTAATACTTTTTTCGAATTAATTTTTTTGTATTTTAATTTTTTACAGATAATGTACTATATTAAACCAAATTTTATTGTAGAAATAATTTGCGATGACTAATTTCTAAATATACCATATTTTTAAAACTACTTCTAATAATATTGTCATTAACTAAATATTCCGAGTATTCCATAATAATTTTGACCATTTGTATTTAGTAAAAACATTTGTACATAGATAGGCTATCGACGAAATAAAAAAAATCAATTTCTAGAACACTTGACGGATTTTATCTTCTGTATAATTCTATTAAATATTCCTGTCAGTGATTCAAGCGCCACTTCGAAGGATTTGACTCCTGTAGTTGTTAATTTTCTTAACGATGGGTATTAAATATGTAATCAGGAAAATTAAAAATGGTCGGGTCATGATCTCAGTGATTTGGCATGGAATGGCCCATATAGGATACAAAATTAAATAAACCCATCAGTTATTTAATCCTTAATACAAATTCACATTTTTATTTACATCAGTAGGAATATAAAATCAATAAAAAATCTACTTTCCTATTTTTCAAAAAGTTGTAGCACTATAATACCTTACTGAGATTTTTTCTTTATTTTTTAAGTATTTTGACACTTGTGAAAAAATGGATGAAATAAACCCTTGTGGCAAAAGAATCAGGCAAGGGTTATTTTATGAAAATAATTTTGCCTAATCAAAAATCAAATGCAAAAAAGCTGATATATAAAAAATATAATATACAAAATACTATAAAGTTAAAATATAATAACATTAATCAGAAATTTTAAATATTAGGAGAAACAGCAGGAAGCGAATTTCAACACACTGAATTTTTTTCATTGTATTTAAAACTGCATTTGCAACAAAAAAAACTATATTTTTGTGTGAAAAGGTTAGGTTTAAGATTATGTATTGTGATTACTGTGTTCATTTATGAAATAATAATAGCTACAAGCTACAATATAATTGCATTTACAACATATTTGATATAACTTGGGTTTATATCGTTAAAATGATTTAAAGGTTTATCTTATTTATTATCAGGACTTTCTTAAGGAATACCCTGTATATTATCTATAAATATTTCAAAATGATTCACAGTTATTAAAGAAGGTACTGGAGAATGTTTCTAATACTCATTTTTATTACAATAACTTTATAATATAAAATAGGTACCTACATTACCCAGATATATTTTAAAATATTTTTTAAATGAGCAAATGATTAAAACAGGTAAATAATAGAATTGCTAATATGATACATAGAAAGAATATGTTTTTAGTTAACTGGCAGCAACTGAATTTGAATAAAACACGGATTAAATCTCAAATACAATTTATTTATTTACAAACATATCACAGTAATAATTATCAATTCATTAAATATTACACAAACATATATTAATATATTTACATCACGAATCCTGTTACCACGGCCTCCATACATTTTCTGTAGGATGTAGATCGGGCTGTCGTTGTATCTTTTCATAAAACCTTTGATTACTTCCATATGTGACAGATAAAGCCATGTTTACAACTCCCATACAGTTATACGCAGCAAAAGGAAAAGCACATGAATACAAACCGCCAAAACCAACTCCAGTCCTGAAATTTTTTGTTACATTCCCATGTCTTGTGTCATTAGCGCTCAATGCTGGTTTCAAAGCAATATTACTTTTTAAGTCATTGGTAGAACTATCGGCTGGGCAAATCTCTGTCACTTTTTCACCACACTGATTTAGTTTTTTCATACCTGTACTCTTTTTTAAATGTTGCAGGTACCGCACTGTCATTTCCAGAATGTCTGCTTTTTCCAATTTCACGTTTTTCTGATCGGTCCTGTGGGGGTTGCACTCCAGTAATATTTTCTTTAAGGTTTCCAAACTCTCGTTGATCCTAGCCCTTCGTTTCTTCTCCATTATTGGTTTTCTAATTTTTCTGCTTTCTGACAATTGCCTGTTTTCACTGTGGCTAGCCATTTTCGATTTATCAAAGAATATAAAAGTGGAAGAAGGGACGTTACGACCTGTTGTGAGGACTAGATTCAAATGTAGTTGTTGAGGTAACAAGGGGATGTTTTAAGACGTCTAAGTGCCCCTCCTCCAACCTACCCCATCCTATATTTCTTGTGCTATAAAAATAGTCATTACGGGTATCATTGACCTGAGTTTAATCTGGTTGAATCAGCTTCTTTAACGAATTTTGAAATCGGCGAAGTCAATTCTTATTTTCATTTTTGTTATTTCTATTTACTTTCATTATAATATTAAACAAAAAATAAAAAAATAGTCTAATCAAATGGGCCTTTAGATCGCAATTTTGGCCAACTTGCCTGAATTTTTGGAATTTTTGATATAAGTTAGTTTGAGGTAAATAATAACAATAAGTGACAGTAATTTTTTTTCAACCCCTGGCCAGGGGTGAAAAGAGATAAAATAAAGGGGTTTTTCAAGATAACTCGAAAGAGGTAAGAACTAGAAAAAAAGTTTCTTATACAAGTTGTAGAGCATAAAATTCTACATAAAAATGATTCATGACTTTTTCTTGTACTATTAAAATTAACAGAGTTAGGGAGACTAGAAATTAAGAGAAGAATTTAAAAAATCATAAGCAGAATGAATTTTATAATGTTTTTTTTTTCAATCTGCTCTAAAAAATGTAAACCATCTTTTCAAAGAAATAGTTATATTTTTTAATTTTTAATAAAAAAATTATTAAAATAAAAATAAAAGCGAGCGTGATTTTTTTATTTTTGTTTTAAAACAAAATTTCGAAAGCAACTTTGCAACTTTAAATTATTTTAAATAATCGATCGAATGGCATAGAAAAAAATTGTTTTAGTAAATCATAAAAATTAACGATTAAAAAATTGAAATTGTTTAACTTGTTTATTAAAAATTAAAAAATATATCTATTTCTCTGAAAAGAAAGTTTACATTTTTAGAGTGGATTGAAAAAAAAATTATAAAATGCATTCATTTTTCTGCTCGTTATGATTTTTTTAAATTTCTGAAATCGTCCCTTAATTTCTAGCCACCTTAACTATTAATTTTAATAGTACAAGAAAGTCAATAGACCATTTTTATGTAGAATTTTATGCTCTACAACTTTTATAAGAATTTTTTTCTAGCTATTACCCCTTTTGAGTTATCTTGAAAAACCCCTTTATTTTTTTTTCACCTCTGGCCAGGGGATGTCTCTTATTGTTATTATATACCTCAAACTAACTTAATTAATATTAATATAAAAAATTCGGGCCCATTTAATTGGACTAAAAGTTCAGAACCATTTGGACGGTAATTTTCTTTCTACAAAAATTTGAGGAATATATTGGATGCAACACCCTTATTAATCAATATTAATGATGGATTCTCTAAGTTAAAAAAATCGATATAAAAATGTATCGTTTAAATTAAAGAAAAAAAATTCAAAAATTAAAAAAAAAATTTTTTTTTACTTAAATTATTTGTTTTTTTCTCTTGGAAAAGCTTGTGGACTTTTGAGAAAATAATATCTAGTCGTTTCTGATACGATTCGGCGTTTGCATACCATAATTAAGTACATCTTTATTTAATTGTTCATACCCCAAGCTGAATTTCGTCCTCGATTTACATACATTCATAAAATTTATTTTCGTTTTTTAAACTTTTCTTTTTTTGGTAAAAAAAATTAAGTTTTTGTAGATAAGCTCCAATATTTTTTTGTCAGAAACGATAAGATATTGCTCAAAAGTTCAGCAAATTTTCCTAAAGATTTAAAAAATAATAAAAAAATAAAAAAAAATTTTTTTGGAAGATTTTAAAAATATTTTGTTTTTAATGATCATGTAATGTTTAGGAGCAATAAACATGTTCTTTTAATTCTTCCCACAAATTACAGGGTTGTTATGGGTATATTGAGCTATAAACAATTCTTTCCACATTAGTCTTTATCAATATTTGTAAATTAATGGTTGATTTTTCTAAAAATCCGAAAATAAATAATTTTTTCGTACTTTTTTCAAATAAATGTCAATGATGAAAAAAAATTTTCTTCGAAAACCATGATAGGTATTTTGGAGAATTTATTCAAGTTTTCAAAACCACCCTTGGATTTACTGTATACCTAATAATTTGTTGCTGAGGCATCGATGCTTAAAATAAAAAGTGTCATTTTACATTCAACCATCAATATCTCGGTAATCAATAGTAGTATGGAGACCTTTCAAAAAGCAAATTGAAACTGATTAAATAAGCAAACTGACCTCTACATTGATTGTGTTCTAAAAATTTTTTCCGTGTATAAGTAGTCAAAAAAAAAATAAAATAAAATTTTGTTTTCAAAAGATCTTGAACTAGAGACTTAAAACTTCAAAATGGTGTTGTCCCTTTAATTTTTTCCAGTAGTGTATATTATTTTTAATACGTTTTACTTCAGAAATGAAATGTAGAACGTTTATTCCCATTATTTCTTAATTTGTGACATTAAAATATAGCTAAACACCATGTATATGTGTATGAACGTTTTTACTAACCACCTTAACCTCAATAAATGAACAAATTCGATTTTTTAAACTTCTTATATTCAAGATGAAAGAAACACTGCCTACCTGGATAAAAAAAGACGAAAATTGTCCTTGGCCTAGAAGACTCCTTTATAAATCCATAATCTTTTGAAATTCAATGGGTGTTATCGATTGATAGGTCCTTTATACTAGTCCGCTGATATTTGAACCCTTTACGAGTCAATACCTGTCTCCTACACTTTCTCTGATATAGAAAACCTACAGGGTATCCCGAAACGCACACGTCGAATTTTACTTGGTGCTTAGAACACCTTAAAATAAGAAAAAAGTTCATGTAAACATCGTCTCATTTTCGAAAGTGTTGAAATATAAAAAAAAGTACCATTTGACTAAATATCTCGTAAAATGTTTGACGTAGACTAATAAAACTTATAGTAATGGCTTAGCCAATTATGGGCAAAAATTTGCTGAGCTGATACACAAATCTATCAACCAGTGACGGAGAGGCTTGGAGATGCCGTCTCTAAGAACCCCAGAATTTCGACGTCGCTGGATATTTTGTGAATTAGATAAATACAGGTAATTCTGGGTGAGGCTTCTAAGACGTCTTTCATTTTATTCGAAAAACGAGCCTTTTTGGAATAATTATTTTATTTTTATTAATTAAAATTGAGCAACTTAAAACTATTTGTTTTTTAGTTTAGTTTTATGTTAGAAATGTATTATAATTCTAAACAATATAACTATCAGAAATGAAAAAAATCATTAGCATTGCAATCTTTAACTTTTTATCGGGTATTATCCCGTAGTAAATTTAAACCTACAGAACCTAGAACGAGAACATAAAAGAGTAGATCAAAGATTCATATATGAATAAGGCTAAGAATGTGAAAGGTAATTTTGAAACCGTGAATTGAATTGACTGAACTAACTAATAGAAGCACATTTTGCATGTGAAAATTGCAATTGTATATCTTACAATTAAACTTCACGTTGGCACTGATTTTTTAATACAATTATCCAAATTTTATTCGGAGTAAAGTTGAATATTTTAAAGCATTATTTGTTAAAGTGGATAATTAGGTTTTTCAGCTAACAACGAGTAAGCAAGCCATACTGTATGACACATCATTGTAATCAGAAAAATAAGCTGAATTTAAAAAATGTGAAAATACAATATGTTGTCCACTACAAAAACAGAATGTGAATTCGTTTCATCGTCCTAATAGATGCCACGGCTAATACAGCTACATACAGGGTGATTCAGAACTTGCCGCTATTGTTATTATTAATTAATTTAAATAATTTTTGGTTTTAATTAATATCTAAAATAATTTGAGATACCTGATCCACCAACGTGTAAACACATTTGGGCCCGTCAGTTTCTAAGAACTAACACAAATGTCCTGTTTCACCATAGCACAAATGTTTAACCATAATACAAATGTTGTCTTGCGCCACCATAAATTACACGATATCCATCAACTCCGAGTTGCTATACTAGCAAGCCATTTTTGACACTACTAAAAACCTATTGTAAACACTAACGCAACGACGATTGTAAAATCGGTTTTCAGTATTCGGAGTCGCTGAGGCCACATGGCTCTCCAAGCGTATTGTGCTGGCGCTAGAGACTATAGTTGTCCAAAGATGTAATGCTTGAAAGTACTACAACTTCAATTTTTTTTTTTCTCGGAAACTATAAGGATTTTACAAAAATATTTTTTACGATATTGGCTTCATTTCTCATGCCACATTTATTCCCAATTTGTGAATCACCCTGTATTTAAATTCTCCACAAAACAATGCCTTCATAATAAAGTTTGAATTTAAAAAGTCCACTTCTATTTGTTTTTTTTTTGTTTAAAAAAAATTAAAATGAAAATCATTATTTTTAATTTTTGAGAAGTACCCTTCAAATCAAAAGAAAGATCTTTACCTTCGGTATTACTTGTGATCGAAATCTATAATGTTATCCTAATTTAACCGGGTCAAAAAACCGGCAGTCGTTATACAGTGCGGTTTATTAATATTGCAAAAAAAAATCTGACGGAGATTCTTTACAAAAAAATAGAAAAAAGATTTTACGTGTAATTGAGGTTTATCAGAATTTAGAATATATCTCTAAAGAGCTCTCAGAATTCTCTTACCTGAGGCAGAATCATTGACCCCTTAATAGTTTAATATCCCTAAACCCTTTTTGTGTAATATTGGATCATTAAATCACTTACCTCTTAAACCTTATTCCTTTACCATGCTCCAAAATTCTATTTTAGTAGATAATACTTAAAGCAGTAAACCTATAAGAGAAAAGCTACCTAACAGTTAAAAAAAAGCCGGAATAGATTAAAATTTTAAAGGTTTATGATAAGAATATGATTTATATAAAGTATTAAAACTTTGTGTTTACGTAATTTTTTAAACACATTCGCTTTTATGTGAATATATTTCGGAAGAATCTATTTGCTGACCTTTTTTTTCCGTGCACATTATGTTTGTAAAACACGGAAGTTTTTACAGCAACGCATAAAAAATCGACACATTTTTTATTGAGCGGACCCAGCCATGACAAACCAATCCTTAATAAAAAAAATATTGCAAACTGCCTTTACCTGAAGGTTTAAGCCCTTGCAAATTACCACTTTACAATAGAAGAGGTAAGTGCGGCGGATCCCTTCCGCATATTTGCAAATATCCTTAAAAAAGTTTTTATGGTGGGCTGTAAGGGTCAACACTCCTATTTTTTAAGCTGGGGGTACTATAAAAGTAATAAAAAATATCCATCAAACGCATCCACATAGTTAAAAATTTAACCAGTAAACATTATTCGTAAAAATCGGTTCCGGGTTTCAAAACAATGATTTTCGGCAATAAAATGTTCAATTGTTGTTCTGCTGTGTCTAAATACGGGTAGTATTCGATTGTCAGTAGTTGTACTTTCAGTGTTATTTCTGGTTACAACACGGAGAAAACGATATCCTGTTTTCAATGATATACCATTTAAGCTAATGCTACACTCTATTTAGTATTCCTCAAACATAGTTATAATTACTGCATATATGGGTTGGAAAATAAATAATCATTTCATTAATTTAAATATAAACTCATTTTGAAATCCATAGCATGATCTAATGAGAAAAAGTAATTGATGAAATAATATTGTATGATTAATGTTTTCTTTTTCTCTTTTTTGAGGAGATAATTCTATAACCCCTGATGGATGCATACTAACATGTACAGTCATCTACTACAACAGACTACTTTGTTCCTATTACTGCATTATTACAATTAAAGTTTATCTTACATAATCGCTTTAAAGGTAGTCATGTGTTGACTTAAAATTATATTAAAATCGATTATATTATTATCAGTGATTCAAAATTCAGTACAAAGAATTTAGGGGCGTATTTTTAAGGTCAAAATAAATATTTTTTTCTATATACGTGGGTCCACAAATGCTTAATTTTCGATAAAGGCGTTAAAGTTTTCTATTTTTTTCGATTTTTTAGGAATAATTTCTAAACAGATTGAATGTTGGCATACAACGCGGGGTACGGGAGTTTTTTAGAATGCTAAATTTAAATATATCATTGCATTTGACGCTGCTTATAGAGGGCGCCACCTATAAGGGTACGCTTGAATTAAATTGGCCCTAACTTTTTTGCTACCCTATATAAGGTGTGTCATTTAACACACCCGCTGCTAATATATCCGAAATGAAGAAATTTATTTTAGTTTAGGAAACTGGGGTTGTTAGGTCCCTCGAGTAGCTTCAAATTGCGTGATGATACTAAAATTTTGATCCTTGGAACGTGGAAACGCAGACCGTCTGAGAGATCGTTAAATTTTGAGTAATTTTTGTAATATAAAGTTTTTCCCAATATTTACTTCTTGTTTTCGAGACATGTCTACTGCAATATGCAATGTATGATGCAACAGGAAAATCTATTATTTTATCTAAATCACACCAAGACAAAATATTTTTTTTAAATATGGTTATAATGACTTTATTAACACCACATACTAACTAACAAACAATAAATTATAAAAAAACAAATGATTAACTACAGAAAAATAAAATTGTACAATGGTAAATCTTATAAGACGCAGAGACGAACCGTATTTTATCAAATATTAAACAATGCAGTCATAGGTGGCTCATGTCATTTGTTTAAATAAATTATGTATGACAGATGACACATATTAGTTTTTCAATAATTACTGTCTTATCAGCTTGCGTCTTTCAATTTAACAATACTGGTTATAAAATTTACCATTGTACAATTTTTTTTCTGTATTGATCATTTGTTTTTTTTATAATTTATTATTTGTTACTTAGTATGTGGTGTGAATAAAGTCATATAACAATATTTTAAAAGAATATTGTGTCTCGTTGTGATTTAGATAAAATAATAAATTTTCCTGTTACATCATACATTGCATATTGAAGTCGATATATTTCGAAAACAAGTAAATATTGGGAAACACTTTGTATTACAAAAATTACTCAAAATTTAACGATCTTTCAAATGGGCTGCATTTCCATGGAACTAAAATAAATTTCTTCATTTCGGAGATATTGGAAGCGGGAGTGTTAAAAGGAACACCCTGTATATTGACATTTCGTGTTAGTGCATTTAATCCCCTATCAATTTTAAGCAAAAAGAGTACAATTGGTCGAAATCTCTCAGACCAATCGTTTTCGAGATATTGGCTGATGAAGAGTTAAATGTACATCATATTTTCAAATTTTATTAACTATTTACGGTGAAAAATTTAAAAATTTATTTTCACCACCTAATCAGTAATGCAACGATCTTGAAGTTAATTCTTTACATTTTTTTTTTATAAACTAACCGTTTTCGAGAAATCAGTGCTGCCTAAACGGTAGTATTGTCATTATCAAAATACATAGAAAAAAATATAGTAGGCTATGACTGCTTAGTTTGACAACTATTCTTAGAGGTTTTCTATCAAACTTGTTGAAATCTAATACTCTTAGGAACGATGCAGGCAGAAAACAGATTATTAGAAATATGGTGTGCATTCAACTCTTCATCCGCCAATATCTCGAAAACGGTTGTTCTGAGATGTAACATTTAAATCTGTTTAGAAATTATTCCTAAAAAATAGAAAATAATAAAAACTTTAACAATCTGTATATCGAAAACTCAGCATTTGTGGACTCACGTTTATAGGAAAAAAAGTCTCAATTTGATCTCAAAAATACGCCCCTATA